TGAGGCATTGTACCTTTCCTACCTGGAAGCTGCTGCTTTCCTCTCCAAGCTTGTACCACGAGGGGAAGATTTCTTTTTTTTTTTTAATTTTTTATTGTTATGTTAATCACCATACATTACATCATTAGTTTTTGATGTAGTGTTCCATGATTCATTGTTTGTGCATAACACCCAGTGCTCCACGCAGAATGTGCCCTCTTTAATACCCATCACCAGGCTAACCCATCCCCCCACCCCTCTCCCCTCTAGAACCCTCAGTTTGTTTTTCAGAGTCCATCGTCTCTCATGGTTCGTCTTCCCCTCCGACTTACTCCCCTGAGGGGAAGATTTCTTGAGTTCCTCACCCTATCTTAAGTTTTTCTTCTGAACTTCTAATGAGGCCCTTACATGCACTATCTTTTTTTTTTTTGTCTTTTTTTCTCTTCATTAATTTATGTACACATGTCTTTGTCCTATGAATAAGCTCATTTTCAGCTGTCTACTTTGTTTCTTGTAGTTTTTGATTTAATTATTAATTCTATAATCATGTACTTTTGACCTTTATTTTCTTAGGTCTATAAACTTATTTTTCACCTCATTCTGTTTTTTTTTTTAATTTAATTTTTATTTAAGGTTCTGATTCAGCATTTCTTGGCTTGGAGCCAGGAACCCCTATTTTCAAGGCACTTTCTAGATGATATTGATACAAATGTAAATGTGGCCTCTTTTCTGATGCCTTCTCCATCTACTCCCCTGTCCCCAAAAATGTGATCTTCCCGACTACTGTAGGGTAAGACATGGGGAGGCATCAGAACTGAGATGTAGGGGAGTGTTGCTAGCACTGGGAGGGGACAGCTGGGGAGGGGCTGGAGGAATGACTTGAATTTTGCACACAGATTTTACACCCTAGTCTGTGCACTTGAGTCAAGGTTGCTGCAGATGTTGTGTAGTGGCAGTAGTGACCACTGTGGCTGACACTTCAGCATTCCTGTTGTCGCATTTCCACCGAGTTACAGCAAGGCAAGTTGGGAAATTGCTCTCTACTCAAGGTGTGACCCTGATTGGTCTGAGGATAAGCCTATCCCTTTGGCCAGTTATGGTTCAGATACCCAACTTGCCTGAAATTCAAGTAAAGGTTTGTTGGAATCTTTTGGGAAACTTTGTCCTTGCTTTATTAAGAGAGAGGTTGTAAGCAAGAAAATGTGTGGCTCTGATAGCTGTTGACAATTTTCTCATGAGTGTGAGGAGAATCTAATCTTATAATAGCAGCTGATCTCTGGATAACAGACTGCAGTGATGCAAAGAATCTCGGTTGTTAGTGACATTTTAAAAAATTGTGGTAAAATATACAATAAAATTTACAATCTTCACCATTTTTCAGTGTACAGTTCAGTGGTATTAAGTACATTTTTATTGTTGTGCAACCAACACCACACTCCATCTCCAGAACTTTTTCCTGTTCCTCACCTGAAACTCTGTACCCATTAAATACTAACTCCCCATTCTCCCTCCTCCCAGCACCTGACAACCACTATTCTACTTTCTGTATCTACAAATTTGACTACTCTAGGAACCTCATGTAAGCGGTCATTCTGTTTTTTTAATCTTACTATTAAACTCATTTAAAATAATTTATATTCTGAAGGTGCCTCAGTGGCTCAGTCAGTTAAGCATCTGACTCTTGATCGCAGCTCAGGTCTTGATCACAGGGTCCTGAGTTCAAGCTCTGTGTTGGGCTCCATGCTGGTTGTGGAACCTACTTAAAAAAAAAAAAAAATTTTGTTTAAGGGTTGCCTGAGTAGCTCATTGGTTAAACATCTGCCTCTTGATCTCAGCTCAGGTCTTGATCTCAGGGTCCTGAGTTCAAGCCCTACATTGGGCTCCATCTGGGTGTGGAACCTACAAAAAAATAATAAAATAAAATAATTTATATTCTTATTACTTCTTCCTACAGATGATAGATCTATAGGTAATCCATTCAGAATGGATTGAAATTATTTGCATACCATATTGTATTACTCATTTTTTTCTTCATCTTGTGTTTTATTTCCAGCTTGTTCACTAACGTGTATAGTTCCCCATCTCTTTGATTTTGCTGTTTGAGCATGAATGCTTTTTTTTTTTTAAGATTTTATATATTTATTTGACAGAGAGAGAGAGAGAGAGTGCACACAAGCAGGGGGAGTGGCAGGCAGAGGGAGAAGCAGACTCCCTGCTGAGCAAGGAGCCGGATGTGGGACTTGATCCCAGGACCCTGGGATCATGACCTGAGCCGAAGGCAGACGCTTAACTGACTGAGCCACCCAGGTGCCCCATCATGAATGAATTCTTGTTGATTCCCATTCTATTTGATTTGGTTTGATTAGTTATCTTCTATTATAAACTACACTTTGAGGGCTAGATTTTGCCTGAGAGGATAATGACAAGTGCTTAGAAGGGTTGGGGGGAAAGAGCAGAAAACTCAATGGGTGTGGATGAGTTGTGTTGCAGATGTTAAAGACTAGTTTACTCAACATTAATCACATTCTTCTCCTAGTGTGTCTTTCTGTAGGGTCCAGGCAAGAAAACTGAAAATTACATTTCCCAGAAATCCTGGTAGTTAGTATGGGTTTGGCCAATCATATGCACTTAGCCAAGACTGAAATGTGAAGAGAAGCATCCGTGTTGCTGATACACACCATAACAGGCATGGCATCCCTAGTGTCTCATTATAACTGAAGTGGTACATTATGAGCCAGCAGTTGAAGTGGTGACTTTCTAATTCCTCCATGGTTGCTAAAGTAGTCTCATCCAGGAGCTAGTGATTACAGCAGTGGTGTCCAGCTCCCTCAGATTCGTCATTACGGCAGAGCTAGCTCCTCTTGTGGCAGACCATTTTGTGGTGTTATTTTTGGACCATGATATGGGGAAGCATCTGCTCTTTTAACCTGTCCAATGATGTCAGCACCAAACAGCTAGATAAAATCCCTTCCTGTAAACTGCCTTTCTGCAAAAATCCCTTCCTGTGATGATTGCCATGATCTGTAGCTGAGGCCTGACTTATTCACCTTGATTGGAATTCTTGGGCTAGGCTGCAATAAAAAGAAACCAAACTGAAAATGATGTTAACAAAGAAATATATTTTCTCCCATAATGGAAGTACAAAGGTAGGCAGTATTCCAAGTTCAGTATGATCACGTTGCTCAGTGATGTCGTTAACACCATAGGTTTTTTATGTTTTCTTTTTTTCATATTTGCTGTATTCAGTTCATTCCTTTTATGTCACAGCGGGGCTGCTTGTAATAATCAGGGCCATAATTATACTCTAGACTTATGTCTGGAGAGTGGATGGAGATTGGAGAAAGCCTTGCTTCTTTTGCCCATAAGCCCCAAATAAACTTCTCGTTACTTCCCTTTGGCTCAAATCACCTACATATTGCTGAATTATTCACTGGCAAGGGAATTATTGTGGAATGATCACATATGGCTCTAACTAACTATCAGGGTAGAATCAGTGTTGGGGAAGCAATGACAGTGTCCATTACTGTCATTCTACCTTTTTATTCCTCTTCTCCTTCCCTGCTCTCAACTTCTGTTCCAGCAGTGCTGGAACACATGGGGAGAGCTCTAAGGATTTTTCTGTTTGGGATCAAAGATGATCAAAATGGCTTCTACTCTCGTGGAATTTTATTTCCCTCTCTGGACTTCCTAGACTTCCTCTCATACAAAGGTTAGAGATATTTGTGAGAAATTTTAGGATTTCTGTGACTGTCTTTCCCAACCCAACAGTCCCTTACTCCCATCCCTATAGAGAGCTTTTGGTTAAATAGGGTTCCAAGACAAGAAGAGTTTTATAGCACTGTGCATATTTTTAGAAGCTTTTATCTTTTTTATGCCCATTCTTTTGTGGAATTGCTTCTTGTATATTTTTTTTGCTAATATTAACTTGATTTTTGTTCATATTAGTTGGCTTTTGAAAGAGATTTTGAGAACTGGCTTCACTTGAGCACATTACCTCAAAATTCTGAAATTTATTTTATTTATTTTTTTTAAAGATTTTATTTATTTATTCATGAAAGACAGAGAGAGAGAGAGAGAGGCGGAGGGAGAAGCAGCCTCCCAAGGAGCAGGGAGCCCGACGCGGGACTTGATCCCAGGACCCTGGGATCATGACCTGAGCCAAAGGCAGATGCTTAACCATTTGAGCCACCCAGGCGCCCTCAAAATTCTGAAATTTAAAAAATATTATTTTAATAGTGATTTCTAGATTTATTGCATTTTGGTCAGTGGACATGATCTGTAAAATTTCAGATATTTGGAATCTAGACTGTCAAACTGGCCTAAAAAAATCATCATTAAAATAAAAAACCTCCATGTGCACTATTAAATAGCATGTATTCTCTTCTATTATTATTGGTTATACATGTGTAACTATATAATGTATATCAAAATATTTATTATATATAATTATATTGCATATTATATATATATTTTTAGTCTTATTAATTATATAGAGCTTCTGTATCCTTGGCGGGTATGTGTACGTGTGTTGTGTGTGTGTCTGTATGTGCATATGTGTGTTTGATCTGTTTTAGAGTAAGAGGTGTGTTAGACTGTCCACATCCTCTCATCTTAGGCTCCAGGGGCTTTCAAATACTTGGTCTGAGGGAGGGCAAAAGTTCTCACTTTTTCCCATCCAAGTCTTGTTTGTATATGCTTGCCTTGGCATAACTGTCAGTACATATACTTAATTCACACTATAAAGCAGAATACTTTTTAGTCTATAGCATCTTTTATATTTATAGCACTTAACAGTTTTTTCTAAGAATAGTGGGTTTTGTGTAATTTCAAGGTATATAATCATGATTTTTCTAAAACAAGGATTCTTTCTTTCAAAGTAATAGACTCTTCACTTCTGGAAAAATAAATTTCCATTAATCCTTAAGTGGCTGTGCCTTCACTTAAGAGAAAACACGACAAAATAAAATCTCCCTTCACATACATATGAGTAACTTAAAAATGTGAATTTTTCTTTTTCTTAGGTATACAAATTGTTTCTGAAAGGGAGCTAGCTCAGTTGGCTCAGGTTCGACCATTACTATTCAATTTTCATGAGCAATCAGTCATCAAGGATTGTTTTAAAATGCTTGAGAAAAAAGTAGCAGAATATGAAATCCTCCAGGAATTTATGGTAAATATTTTGGTCTTGACAAAAGTCTGTATGTGATTTTCCACATTACTAATGGAGGGGTTTTTTTCCTTTCCTTTTTTATCTTTTCTTTTAGGTTGAGTTCTTTGTTTTTTGTTTTTAAATATTAAGTTTGTTTTTAAAGTAATAGGTTTATATAGTAAAAGAAAAGTTAAATAGCATAAAAGGTTATAAAAGGATAGTCTCTTTGTTTTTCTCTCTTGAGTTCCTAGGCCCCCTTTCCACTATTTAAGTTTGTCATATAAGTGTCCAGAAAACCATCGGCATGTTCTTTAGTATTCTACCCTTTCTTTCCTTTTTTTTTTTTTAGAAAAATATTTCACGTAGGAAATAATTTCCAAATATATTATTGGTACATGTAGCTCTATCTCATTTTTTTATCTCATTATTTTTAAGTATTTCATAATATAGTTAATTATATAGATAAAGACCTTTTTTCTTTAAGTAGTCCCCTGTGATGAACATTTAGATTTTTCTAGTGTTTGTTATTTATTAACAGTAATTACCCCTCTTCATATGGCTGTGCATATGTATGAGTATTCTTATAACAAGTTACTGGAAACACAACCAGTATTTTGTACTGTCAAATTTTTGGATCTTTGCTTACCTCTTATATGACAAATGATTCCTTGTTGATTTATATTGACATTTATTTGAGAACAAAGGAATAGGGTTTCCATATGTTTTTAAGCCTTTTATATTTATTTTTGGTGAACTGTTCTGATTCTTTGCCCAATTTTCTGTTTATTCTTTTTCTTATTGATTAATAATTTTATATAATGAAGAAATTGTCTCTTTTGTATGTGCTATATATGGTAAATTTTCCCCCTTGTTTGTGCTACACAGAAGTGTGCATGCGCACATATACACATTTAGCAAGAAGAGATAGCTAATTTTTAGTGGTCAGATATGACAATCTATTGGGACTTCAGGGTTTTCTGTATCCTGTAGGTGCCCTTTTCACTCTAGGATCATAATAATTACTTCATGTCTTTTTCTAATATTTTTGTGATTTTTTAAAATGTGTAAATCTTTGATCTAGCTAGAATTTAAGGTATTTGGTAGGGACTCAGCATTATATAGCTATCCTGTTGTCCCCAGATCTTCTTGAAATTGTTCTTCAGTGATGTAAAAGGCCACTTTTATTATATACTGAAGTTCTACATAAATTTTAATTTATTCTTGGACTTCTTCCATTGATTTGTTTATTCATGTACTAGTACCAAGCTCTCTTAATTAGCATAGCTTTATGTTATCTTTTACTGTTTGTTAATACTAGTCTTCCCTCAGTTCTCTTCTTTTACAAAATTGTTCTAGTTTTTCCTACAGATATTTTTCCAAATTAATTTTATAATTGGCTTGCATAAGGATAAGAAAGGTAAAAATCTGATCATATTACCCTACTGCTTAAAACCTTCACTAGCTTCTCATTTGCCATGCCAGTATTGCCAACACTTATTTAAAGACTGGTGGTGCCAAGTTGGCTACCCAAGAGTTACTGAAGAGCTTTTGAAAAGTACGGATTCTTGGGCTTTATCCACAAATATTCTAATAGACTAGGGCTGGATACATCTCCACTTCTTTTGTATATGAAACAAGGCCTTCCTAAGTAGTTTTAGTTTCCCTCTGGGCTAGATCATGTTCTCTCTGCTCTTGTTACCATACCATTCACTGTTTCCCCAAGAGGAGATGTATGCCCCCATACCTTTATTCCTGTCCTTTCCACCTGGAGTGATAACCTGCTCACCTCAGCTCTCCTTTCCTTCCACACACACACACAGACTTTCATATGACTAACTTCTGATGGCAGTCATCAGCACTACCATTGTACTAGCATCTCTGTGACATTGACTACCCCTCGGACTGCTCTGATAGCTCCTCAAGGAGGGGGCCATTTTCAGATTCATCTTTTTATTCCAATGTCTAGAAAAGTACTGAGTATGTATTAAATGTTCAGTCATGTTTACTGAATTCACACTTGGTAATGAAATTTTTTTGAAAGGAAGAATTCCTTAATTGGTATCCTGGCTATAATTCATTCATGGGGCAAGGAGTAAATTGTGAGACATTTTTTCTTTTTGGTTTATATATTTATATATTTTTCTTGCTGTTATTTTATTATTTTTGTTTATAAAATGATAGATTAGTGAGTAGGTCCTAAGAAGTAAATGTTCTTTATTTTTTTTTAATGAAAAAAAAAATACTGAAGTTCAAGGGAAAAAAGTATGTCCAAAGAGATTAGTATTTTTTTTTTAAAGATTTTATTTATTTATTTGTCAGAGAGAGATACAGAGAGAGAGAGAAAGAGCACAAGCCGGGGTGGGGGGGAGCAGCAGGCAGAGGAAGAAGCAGGCTCCCTGCTGAGCAAGGAGCCTGATGCAGGAGCCTGATGCAGGACCTGGTCCCGGGACCCTGGGATCATGACCTGAGCTGAAGGCAGACGCTTAACCGACTGAGCCACCCAGGCATCCCAAGATTAGTATTTTCTTATCAAGCAACTTGTTGATTGACATCTCAAATTTGAAATATTTTATTATTTTTTTCTTTATTTTTTTAATTTTATTTTATTATGTTATGTTAGTCACCATACAATACATCATTAGTTTTTGATGTGGTGATCCACGATTCATTGTTTTCATATAACACCCAGTGCTCCATGCAGTACGTGCCCTCCTTAATACCCATCACTGGTCTAATCCATCCCTTACCCCCCTCCCCTCTGAAACCCTCAGTATATAGTACTTTTTAATGGGATTCTGACTTCAGTTATCATACAACACATTTAACACCAGGCATGCCGTATAGAGGTTTAAGGATCATGAACACTAAGCAAGAGCAGATTTTTTTCTTTATCTTTTTATTATGGTAAATACATGACTTATATTTCTTACCTTTTAAAGACTTTAGATTATAAGAACATACCTGATGCATTCAACTCTGGGAATGAACTACGCAACAGAGAAAAAAACAGATATCGGGATATTCTTCCATGTAAGCTAAAAATGGTTTTGATTATTTTCCTGTTTGCATTTGGGAAAAGATAAAAAATGAGTTGTATGGCTTTCAGTACTAGGCATTTTGACCTGTGATCATGATGAAGAGCTCTGATAGCTAGCAGTGGGTAGCCTGGGCATATTCTTGAATATGCTAGAATACATGGTGAATTTCAAGTCTTACATTCCAGCAACTATCATAGGGTTATTTATAGAAGTCCCTCAACCTTGTCCTTATGCACATGCTACTTCTCAGAGCATGAGCCATCTAAAATATAAAGTCTAGTAGCCTAAGACATTGTCACTTTTGGTAACCCAACCCCTGATCACCTTCCTTGGCTGTTTTGTTTAGACATACAAATGCAATGGGGCTATTTATATCCTTTCTCCTGGACAGTAAAACTGCCAATTTACCCTCCCAACAGGAGGCTGCTCTTTGTCTCTAAGGGCCCTCCACATTGCTTCCCCGTGCTGGGTGAAGCTAGTGCCCCTCTCCTCCCCAGCCAGTTACTTACAGGATTTCTCTATCCCAGGCCATCCGAAGAGCAGAAACAAAATACAACACATTTTTAATCTTAGGTAGGAAATCTCATTTTATGCCTCACATTCCTTTCAAAGTAAAAAATTTTCCAAGTTACTTTACCATTTTTCCTCCTCCATCTTGACCTTTCCTCCTTTATTCTCTATCTTATTTAATGTAACCACCCCATTGTCCAAGCCAGAAAACTTTGAGTCACCAGTGATATTTAAAAGTGGTCATAAAGTCCTTTTGATTTTACTTCCTTAATACCTTCAGAATCCTCCCCCATCTCTCAGTTCCCACTGCTGCTAACTTAGATTGAATCTGCCTGTTTCATCTCTCAGCTGGTCTGTCTTCACTGCCTCCATGCCCAGCTACTCACAGTGGCTACTGAAATGATTTTCCTAAAACACAAGTCCCTTCAAAACTCTTCTTTGGCTCTCTGTAATTATCATGGTAAAGCTCTTTAGCATCATGGCATAAATTTCACATTTCTTATCTCAGCTCTTTCACAGACTTCTTTTGGTTTCTGGAATTCATTCTCTTTCTCCTGTCTCCAAGCCTTTGAACCTGCAGTTCTTGCAAGAACCATACACCCTCCCTTTTTTGCTGAGGTAATTCTTGCTGTCTTTCAGAGCTAGCTCAGCCAGACCTTTCTTGTTTTCCTCAAAGCTAGGTTTGACTGTTTCTCCAATAGCCTCATACCGTCTTGTGACTGCTCTTCCCAACTTAACAAATTATATTTTAATTATCTATTTATGTTCCTCTTTCTCCCACTAGACTTGAGGTGGTTATGATAGAAATTAGGGTAAGACAGTGACTGCCATAATTGGATCAATACCTTTATGTTTAGTTGGTTCATTCAAATCTAAGACAACTTTATGATTATAAAAGTAATGAGTACCTTCCCAGATAATTAAAATAATTTATTCTACTACCTTCTGTGGGGAGAATGTACCAAAATACATTGATGAATATTTCTGAAATCATGGTAATGAACCACTATTAGACATTTTAAGAGATAATGCCAACAATTTGGTTCTACTCTGAGAGTCAAAGTTCCCAATTATATAATTCCCATCCCTGCATGTGCAATTAGCCCTCAAGAAACCGAATACAAACAAGCCTTTAAAATGAGGCTCCGGGGGTGCACCTGGGTGGCACAGTGAGTTAAGAGTCCGATTCTTGGTTTCAGCTCAGGTCCTGATCTCACTGTTGTGAGATAGAACCCCACATCGGGCTCTATGCTCAGTGTGGAGTCTGCTTGAGATTTTATCTCCTTCTCCCTCTGCCCTTTCTGCTCGTGCTCTCTCTCTCTCTCTAAAAATAAAATAAAAATCATTTAAAAAATGAGGCTCTGGGGATTGTAAGAAGCTTGTTTTAGGATATGGGGTACATTTAACATTTGATCTGGCTTGAACTCTTTACTCTGGGTACAAGAAGAATGATAACTAAACAGAAAAGAGATGCAAAGATATGAGCAATAAAGTTCAGTGATTAAAACTAGGGAAAATCATGTAAAACTTTTTGCTTTTCTGTTAAGATCAACAGTTATTAAGCCAAGTTCTGTTTTAAAGTCCACTGATTTATCTACCTTATACTACAGTGTAATTTAATCTCAGTAAGCCTACTTAAGTGACAATCATAGAAAGTTTCTTTGATTTCTTTACCACACATTTCTTGAATTAATAGAGAAGTTTCCTAATGAATCACATCAAGAAAGCCAGAGAAATAATTAATTTTTCCCTCTTTTTAAATGCTGAGAAGACTAGCTGGAGGATTCACACATCTTAGGACATTGCAAGTATATGCGGTCCTCACTTTCCATGGCTCTGGTATGCAAAAATTTCAGTTAGTGTGGTTTAAAGAACACCAGTCCCTCAACAACACAATTCAAATTTCAGTAATCACAAGGTATTAACTGAGAGTAATTGCATAAAATACAAAACGTCACATCTATTTCTTCAGTCTGCAAATTACTATGTAAATAACAGGTGCTCATCATGATCACTGACTAATCATGGCACTTCTTTTTTTCTTTTTTTTTTTTTTACTCCTTTTAAAATATGTCTACAGTTAGTCACTCTGTTATTCAGCTCACGCACAGATAGCAAAGCATGTAGTTGTGTTGCCTCCTTATTTTTCAGTGATAAGCCCACATTACATTTTATAAAAATGGATTATCAAAAGTTGATTGGTCAACAAAGATGAAATTGAAGCAAAGAAAGGAAAAGTAGTAATACTAGGAGTGAGATTCTAATAGAATGTGAATAGTTATAGAATAAATAGCTACGCTGGAAAAGATTATGGAACAATCATAATTTGTCCTATTGATTATTAAGATCTTTTGTACAGCTTCAACTTGCACGGTCACATTTATGGCCCTATATTATTATGCAAGGCATGAATGGATCTCATTATGTAGTCCAGGGATTTTTAGATATAAAGACAACATCTTGGATTTCTATAACACTTTACAATTTGCAAAGCATTTTAAAATGCATAATCTTATATAATCTTCATAAAATATCTCTGAAGTAGACCATTGGATACCATAATTCCTACTTCACAGAAGAGGGAATAAGCTCTGGGGTTAAAAGGTGTTTTGAAGGCTAATAAAGGAGTGGGGACATACCACAGGTCATGTTCTCTGACTTCTGGCCTAATACTTTTTCTGTTACTTGTCTTTGGGTTAGGATCTACTCAGAACTAACTAATAATGTTAGTGACTTAGATTTCTAGTAGTCTTCCACTTCACAGAGCATGCTTACACATATCTCATTGAGTGCTGAGTACAGTCGTTCAAGGAAGGCAGCATAGATGATAATGTCTGAATTTAAGGATGTAGGCGATGAGGAAAGGAGAAATTCAACAAATGGTTCTGGACAACTGCATATTCCTATATTAAAAAATGAACCATACCCTTACCTCACACCTTATATAAAAATTAACTCAAAATCGATCATAGGCCTAATTTGAGTTAAAACCATAAAACTTTTGAAGAATATTTGAGAAAAATTTAGTGTCCTTGAGTTTGGAAGAGTTTTTCTTAATAGGACACAAAAACCCCAAACTATAAAAGAAAAAAACAAATTAGGCTTCTTTGATTTAAAAAAATATATATTGCCCTTCAAAGTACACTGTTAGGAAAATGAAAAGGCAAGCAACAGTCTGGGAGAAAAATACATTCAAAACACTTATCTGACAAAGGACTTGCATTTAGAATATATAAAGAATTTCTACAACTCAATAAGAGGACAAATAACCCAAAAATAAGTGAGCAAAAGGCTTGAATGGCCACTTCAAAGAAGATACATGGGTGACAAATATGTGAAAAGATGTTCAACATCATTAATCATTAGGAAGACACAAAACTATCATAAGATACACTTCACACCTGCTACAATGGAAGAGAGTTTAACAGTTTCTTACAATATTAAACATATATCTACAACATGAGTCAGCATGTCTACTCCTTTGTATTTACCTAAGAGAAATGGAAGCATGTATCTGCATATAGACATGTATATGAATGTTCATATCAGTTTTCTTTGCAAAAGCAAAAACCTGAAAATAACCCAATGTCCATCAACAGGAGAGTGGATAAACAAATTTGATATGCCCATATCATAGTAAACTAATGATATAGGCAGCGACATGGATGAATCTCAAAATAATTATGTGGAATGAAAAAAAGCAATTGAAAGAATATATACTGTCCATTATCTACTGAATTGTGTTCCCTCAAAATTCCTATGTTAAAGTCTTAACACCCAGTACCTCAGAATGTGACTGTTCTTGGAGATAGGGCCTTTAAGGAGGTAATTAAAACAAAATGAGGAGGGCGCCTGGGTGTCTCAGTCATTAAACATCTGCCTTCAGCTCAGGTCATGATCCCAGGGTCCTGGGATCGAGCCCCATATAGGGCTCCCTCCTCCACAGGAAGCCTGCTTCTCCCTCTCCCACTCCTACTGCTTGTGTTCCCTCTCTCTCCCTCTCTTGCGTCTCTCTCTCTGTCAAAAAATAAATAAAATCTTGAAAAAAAAAGATTAAAAAAAAAAATAAGACCGTTCAGGTGTTCCCTAATCCAATCTGACTGGTTTTCTTGTAAGAAGAGGAGTTAGGACACTCAGAAGACACCAGGGATGTATGGACACAGAGGAATGTGGGCCCACATGAGAACATGACAAAAGGCAGGCCTGTTCAAGCCAAGGGGAGGCCTTATAAGAAACCAACCCTGCTGATGCCTGGATCTTGGACTTCTAGCCTCTGGCCTCCAGAACTACGAAAATCAATGTCTCTTGTTGAAGCTATCCAGTCTGTGGTATTTTGTTAGGGCAACCTGAGCAGACTAATGCACTGTATTACTCCATTTACATAAAATTATAGAAAATTCAAAGTAATTCATAAAGTTTATCAGTGGTTACCTTGAGGGCAGGAGTGGAGCAAGCAGGATAGATTACCAAAGAGCATGAGAA